TAAACCCCGTACGGTCGCTAAATGTGTATTCAAACAACCAGCTTACAAGCACTGAGCTTGAGAAAGGAAGAGACGGAAAATATTCGTAATAATTTACGCGTACTTCGCTATTATCGTCTGTCAAGGGTGTAGTAGCGATACCATAGTCTCCACAGTAATACTATCCGCTTCCGTTCCGATCGTATAGATTTCAACAATTTTAATGCTCCGAATACAAATATCGTAGAAAAATATTACACAGAGGTTTGTCTTGATCACGAATATGTGAAATGTATAGTACGAATGTTCCGACAACCGCAGTTTTAATATAGCCCGGTTTGGGTGATGGTTAGACACGTTTTAATCGGAAAGATCGTAGCAACGCAGTGCAATTATTTTCAGAAAGCTAAGATGAAAATTACGAAAAGTAAAATTTTCTCTACCACAATTCCGGTAAGTTTCGCTGAATCCGAAACACTGACAAAGGAGGTTTCGCAAATATTCAATTCGTTTTGAAAAAATTTCTGTCGGGTGTTTTTCAATCTTTCTTATTTCATCGCACACTTGAACCTAATTGACACACTCAAATTATGATAATGAAAGGAGGGGTTGCGCGAGGCTCGTTACTCTGTTGGGACAGTGCTGAAAGAATGCGGTCTAATCTAATTTACTGGATATATTTTTTTTTTTCAGGTTTTCAACTGATCGCATCGACGTGCGATTATTCTCGATTGCAACTAATTGATCGTGTTGTATCTTGAGTTGATGTTAAAGTTCCATTCCTGTCTCACTGGTTTTGTAAATTTCGCCGTTTCGTGTTTGCTTGGTGTGAAATGCGAGTAGTGGGTGCGTATTTTCCTATTGGTTGGGTATATCTGTTGGGGGTATGTATCGGTTTCGACGTCTTTCGGTGATGGCGGATGTTTAAACAAATTTGGCACTCTATGACACAAGTGCTGGCCGGATGGCCCGAGTATTCGCGAGTCATGGAACAAAAATGGTAGTTAAAATTCTTAAAGAAACTTATTTATATTTATTTCTTCTTCTGCTTATTATAATTTGACATTTAATGGGATATCTGAGTTTGATGTTTGTTTAAAATATATTCTTTACAATGTCGAATTTTAGATATACTCGTCAATCTTCTTCCAAGAAGTCTAGCCGTGACCGATTTTTCTTTTTAATATTATTATTAGTTTCGTACAAATACGACATTGCGTACGAACAGAAGTACTCCTATTGCTTCTTTGTAATGTTTGCATAATTTTCTGTGGCCTACGTGTGACGGGTACCCTTAGTCGCGTTGCCCCTCTGCCACGGGTGTGACGAGTTATCCTCACCGGGAGAGTCTTGATTCTCGACTAGGTAGCCCTAAAGCGACTCTTTAGATGGAAGAGCGCAAGGAAAGGACGAAAGGAGTAAAGAGAGGGATGCGTTTCGTCCTGGGCCTGGTAGTAAGTAGGTGCTACTAGGCCACCTAGCAGGTCGGTGCCTTTTAATGCGTTTAATGAGTTTAATGCGCCAATAAATTACAAAAACGATATATACAATGAAAACAAACCGAAACTTTGCCAAGTTGCGTGATTCGTGGAATGCAAGGAACTGCATGGCCTATTGCCGTATTTATATTGTGGCCTATTTGTACATCAAATGATCCATTTCGTTTATTTGGTTAATGGTTACTATCGTTGGGTCGTCCAGGTCGTCCGTGTTTGAGGAATTTTTGAAATTTCTTCCACTTGTTTTTATGATAATTGTATCTGTCTATGGTTATTTGTTCATTAATTTCGAAAACGTTTATTTAGGATTAATTGGGATTAATATCTATATTTTAATTGCTCCATGGACAATGTCGTATGCGAATGAGTCTATTGTTCGAGGTCTCGGTATATCGTGAAACTTAATACAGTTGCCAGCTAGACAGAGGTCTATGAAAACGCGGCTTTTTGGAAATGTGGGTACTGCTATATTGCGCAGGGAGGTCCCGTATAGCGTTAAATTTTCTTTCAGCCATTTGTTAAATTTGTTAAGTCCTGCTCCTCGGTTGTTGTTTATGGCGTTAGCCCAGATACGGTGTTTCTTGTTCGGGTTACCAGCTAAGGTGTAAAATTTATTTACGTCGTATCGGTTGAGAAATTTGAACGAGTAATTGAGTTCCTCTACGAAATCTTTCCTGCCGCTGCTAACCGCATACTCGACTATTATGAGCGTTGTTTCCAGTCCTTTGTTAGTTATCACATGATTAGTGCGTATACGTTTGAATTTGAGATTTGCTTCTTATTACGATACCTGATTCACTTGCTTGTTTAGCGTTAGGACTGTCGGTCCTGAACAAGTTGTAATTCTTAAATTCGACTACGTGTCTGACATCTAGTTTCAGATCGGAATGTAGGACTGTAGGTGCTGGATTGTAGGTGCTAAGACAGTCCCGAAGGGATGCGGGACTTAGGTTGATGTAAATTATAGGTAGATGCTCGAGAGTTAATTTACGTGGCGTTTGAGTGTTGTGTATTGTGATTACTGGTCATTCGAGATCGATACCTAAAGATATTTGTTACAATGCTAATTTTGTTTACGTTTGCTTATACTAAATAATTTCTTCCGGCTGTGATGTTTGTGGTATAGTTTGAGGAGGATATCGTTGCGTGTCTGGCGGAGTGTGTTTGTATTAGTGCTTCTGTCTGTCTTTGATAGGACTGTACGATATGACCGGGTTAACTATTTTGCTAAATGGTTGCCTTTTCCTTTCCTTCTCTCTTTCCATGTTTTCGTTTTTCTCCTGTATCTTTTGTTTTATTTTTAGGAGCTTTGGACAACCTCTATACGACTTCTGTCAGAAGCCCTCACAGTTTACGCATTAGGGTTGTTCGGTGTTCTGGTTAGGTATATTAGTATAGCGTGTACTTTCCTGGATTATGGGTTTCAGTTACATTTTACGCGCCTATTCTTCAGATTACAATTTAACGCTATGCCCTACGCGTTGACACCTTTTGCACCGAATTTGCTCTTTCTTAATTATTTTCTCCCAGTGCCCTAGGGAGTGTAGAGTACTACCCTCACTTACTCGAAGCTCTCTGTTTTACTGTCGAGAAATAATTGAACTAGATAAATTGGAAAATCTCTTCCTTCTAATGTAGATCTCTTAGTTTTGAAATTTTTTTTATTTCAAAAAATTGTTTTTATTATGCGAAAGCAGTGTTAGAAAGGCAATTGTAAGTTGTCGTTGAGAGAGAATTGACAGCGTGTTAGTTGTTAGAGTGTCAGATTAGAGCTAGAACAGAATTCAGTGTCAGAGAGAGAGTCTTAAGAGTATAGCGAGTGAGAGAGTTCGTGTTATATTTTAGTTTAAATAAAGCTCTTTCTGTTATAAAAGACGTGTCGTTGCTTATCAAATTTACGAACCTTTACCTACGAGGGATTTAACCAGAATAATCCCCACAAATTATGAACTCATCCTACAAATTGGTGGCTATAATAAATTCTATAGATACATTTGGTTTAAACCTTCTGCTTGTACACTTTTTCACCTTTGCTATGTTATCCACGTACGTACTGATATGGGGTACCACATTCTTCAATGTGAATCCCTTCTTTCTTAAGAAATCGATGATTTCATCGTGTCGAAGTAACTGAATCTTCCAAATAAACTCTACATCCTAGTGATGTTCTTCCCCGTTTTATCCTTTGTCTCCTGTTTTCTGGAAACGCCTGTGATCTGGGTGGCCCTAAACAAGCAGAGCAGTTCTGACTGTACGCCCGTTCGATAAACATATATATTTTTCCACCGTTTCCAATGAATACGTTCTTTTTGTAATATAATCTCTTAACGCATCGATGCCTGTGTGCTTATGTCTCTTTTCTATCAAGGGTGCATAAGTTTTTGCTATTGCGGCTGTTGGCTGGAGAATATGTCCTTGCGCATTTCGCGTGACGACTTCCTATTGCTGAATTTACTACACAGGACGCCGGTACAATGATATTTTGTATGCACTCTGTACAACGTTTCGTGGTTTACAATAATAAAAGCTTACTCTCACAGTTTTACGGTTTTGGGACACGTCCATCACCTACGCAGGTCAAGGTAAGAGTCGTAGGCCCGTGCATCATGCACTATAGGTAGGTTCGGAATTTATATTTATAACAAGCAAAGAGTTCACCGAGGACTTGCGAGAAATCTTCTTGATTCCCTCTGCTGGTAAGTGAACGGTGATTGCCACATTTATAAATTCATTTTTGAGAAATAACCAAAACCATGTGATATTTGTTATTGAATATTTGAATTACAATCCCTTGAATTTCTTAAAATTATCTTTTTTCTTTAACTTCTCTTGTTTATGAATTTTATTATTTTTTAACAATTTTTAAGTTTTTGATAACAATATAACTTTTCATAACCTTTTGATAACAATATTCTTAACTTCTTAACTTCTTAGCAAATAAAAATGCAATCCTTCCAGCGTGTTGTTTTACTTTTTTTGTCAAATTTATACTCGCCATTGCTTGATTTTAATTCCGCATCGCGTGAAGGATTTTTAAACCTAAATTCCGTAATTAACTGGTTAAAGGTTCAAACGCTGAACTAAATCTCCAAGCTTTGCTGGAAGGACGTTTCTCAGTTTTTCTCAAAATTTCACCGATCATTTTATTCGGTACGGCAAAAGATACGTGTATGTATTGTACAACATTGGCTAGGAAAGAAAGCTAAAAAAATATCTTTTGTAAAACTCGAGAGAAAAGTATAGAAGAAGAAAAGAAAAAAAGAAATAAAAATAAAGTACGCTGCTCAATCAAGATTACCATATTTTTTTTGCTAAACTTTCTGTAACACCGTTCCTTCACTTTCACATACCGAATGCTTCTGGCACGTGCACAAGCCTCGGTGCGCCGTCGCTTCGTTTCGCCACATCCCGTCGCGTCCCGTTACACTACGGTTTCACTAATACCAACCCACAGAAATGCAACGTCCCTGCTTCTCCGCTCACTTATACCAACAGAAATTACAGACACTCGATAGCAAGAAATACAGTTTTACATCGAATCTCGTCATAAAGTAAATCGGCCAATTCGGAATGTTGTATTTTTAACATACGCACAAACGTTCATACTTCTTCTTTTAATTAATCCCTTCGCACGTAATATCGTACGAGACCTGTGATAGGTCGAACGGGCCAAACATGAGAATCACGGGTGCGAGCCGTGGTACGTCGATTGGGACACAGATGAGAATCACGGGTGAGTGCCGTGTCACGTCGATCGGGCCAAACATACGTATCACGAATCAGGCTCGTGGATAATTGTTGCCGTCTTTTAGTCTCACAGTGTTATTCTTGGCCGTATTCGCGCATTGAAATATATTTTCTTAAACATATTAGAAAGATACTGCTAATAATGTCCTTAGAAAGGAAATTTAGCGACGATGATGACAGTGAGAGTAGTTCTAGCATTGCACAGAGTGATTTCATAGATATTTTTGATAGTGACAGTGAAAGTAGTGATATTTTGTCACCTGTACGAAAACGTTGCAAACAACTGGTTATCGAAGATGATATCGACGATGATGTCTACATCGATGATCAACAATCAGAGCATTGGATTTGGAAAGAAGAAAGTAATAAACCAAAAGTCTGGAATTATACGGAGACTCCTGGTATAAAAGTGGCAATATTAAATAAGTTAGGTGCAAACGAGAAAGAATTGGACATTTTTGATATAATATTTGATAATACGTTTTGGGAAAATATCGTAACGGAGACGAATCGATACGCGGAACAAATAATAAACAATAAAAATAGGAGACGAAAAATAGACGAAACTTGGTTTCCCGTTGATTCTGGCGAAATAAAAATATATTTCGCATTATGTATAATAATGGCTCAAGTTAAGAAAGCAACAATTCAAATGAATTGGTCGAAGAGGGCCGTTATCGAAACGCCGATATTCAGAAAAACGATGCCACTGAAAAGATTTCTGCAAATAACCAGATGTTTGCATTTTGCAAATAACAACGCAATCGACAATACAGATAAATTACGTAAAATAAAACCGGTGACGAATTTTTTTAATCAAAGATTTAAGGAAGCATATACAATGCAAGAAGACATTACTATCGATGCATCGCTAATAAAATATAAAGGGCGCTTACCTCATAAGCCATATCATCCATCGAAACGGGCGAGATTCGGTATTAAATTTTATAAATTATGCGAGTCAGCATCTGGTTATTGCTATGACTTCAAAATATATATAGGCACTGATAAAAGAAATTCTAATGAGAGTGCATCTGAGAACGTTGTGAAAGAGCTGTTACAGTCAGTGTTACATAAAGGACATACTTTATACTTGAACGATTGGTATTCTTCGCCAAAACTGTTTATGACTTTGCTTAACAGTAAAACTAATGCCGTTGGAACGGTACGTTCGAATAGAGAGAATATGCCAAAAGATTTTATTAAAGGAAAATTACAAAGGGGAGAATGTAAAATGAGGAGTTGCAATAAAATACTGGCATTAAAATGGTGCGATAAACGAAACGTTTATATTATTTCCACGAAACACGAAACAGCAGAAATGACTGAAGAAGGCAAAAATCAATTCGATCCTATTTTGAAACCAAAATCTGTCATCGAGTATAACAAAGGAATGATTGGCATCGATCGGCAAGACCAAATGCTAGCGTGCTTCCCTGTTATGAGGAAATGTACGAAAGGATACCGAAAAGTTTTTTTTTACGTGTTTGATATTGCACTGTTTAACTGCTATATTTTGTTCAACAAGTTAAATACTGGAAAACAACAGAGTTACGCCGAATATAGAATCGAAAAAGCCGAATCGTTACTGAAAAATATCCCGTTACCGGAATATAAACGACGAGGACAATTATTGACCGAAGATTTACCGCAGAGACTGCACGCGCAACACTGGGGTCATTTTCCCATGCATATAGGCCCAACACCATCGAAATCAAATCCATCGAGAGTCTGTAAAGTGTGTTCCAGACATAAAAAGCGTAGCGAAACAACGTGGGAGTGCAAAAGATGTAAAGTTGCGTTACATGTACCGGTATGCTTCGAAAGATACCATACGGTCGAAGATTATTAATTTTCTCGAAATTTTTTCAAAACGATTTTATCAAAACGAATTTAAAGTAAGCATTCATTTGTATATTTAAAATAAATATTATCGATCTATTATTCATTTCGAGATAATAAATCCTTCTTGTTCACTGATTAATCGTTCGCAATTATTCACCAAACATCTTATAAAATTAAACCAGTTATACCTTAGACGTGTATTAACGTATCATAAGACGCGTGGGATTGGCACAACTTGGAGCGCACGGCCGAAGCGTCAAATGGCTCGACACGTAACTGCCAAGGCATTGATTGTGGCACGCGCCGTCGTAACTTAAATTGTAGGACAAGGGGCTAGTTACAAACGTAGCCAGTAAAACCAGTAGAAAAAGACCAATGTCAGAATCCGGTAAACCGTAATCTGTTAATTTAAACTTTGTTTCACCATCTTCGCCATATATCGAAAACCCAATTATTCCCGATTAAAAAGCCTGCTAGAAAACACATTTATGTCACCCCACCAATGCGAAATATCTATACTTGGTTCAACGAGAACTGACAGGAAGTATAAACAACTACACGCGGAGGGCGCGTGATCAGGACAGGACTGGAACATCTTTGTTTGAACCCTGCGCATAAGGAAAGAAGCTGGATTCGCATGCAGGGGCCCTCGGCAATAGTTCTTCGTTATTCATTCCTGAATATGGACATTTGGCAGCCACTCAGCTGTAATCACGTGAACGTGAACGTTTTGTTTATGTTTTCTGCCTTTTCTCGTTAAACGGAGCATAGGGGTATCATTATTCGAGACTCTGTCGGTAACTTAGATATAAATTCGGCAGGGCGCTTGCTTATCGACAGTAGCTTAACTATTTGAGCGTGTGATTGACATTACGATTATTATTAGAGAATTTTTATTTGATTTGGAATAGAGTCAGTATTATTTTAGCTACGTGTCCTTCTGATTTACGTAAAAAGCAATTTCATTTGACAAAAATTAAACATGTAGTGCCTTTAACGTCATTAGAAAAGGTTCTGGTACTTGTTTTCTTTTTTTGCGTCATCTGAATGCACATTTTTAAAAACTTAGGACGTGAAAATATTCCGAATTCGTCATTCCAGCTTTTCGAAAAGTTACTCTCGAACAACGTCGAATGTTGCGATTTTCTAAAACGCTTTTGATCGCTTGATCGGGTATATTAGATAAAATTATTCGTTCAGGCGGAAGAAGCATAGTTCTGTTGTTTCTGTTATTAATTATTATTGATTTGTGTTCTCGGTTTTTCCGTTTTGCTTTTGAATCTGTAATTTTGCAGATTGCACTGACATAATCTTTCATGCTTGTATCGTCGATTGCTTGGAAGATAACGGCGGGGCGTCGCAGCAATGCTCCGCTTCAGAAGTTCAAGGATCACCTACGTAAGTAGTATATACTTACGTACAGTTACGTGTCACGGCTGATTCCTACTTTTCATAAACAATTTTCATTAATCGCGATACAGATGTTACGAATGATAGTTATCTGTCTCAACAGTTATTATTTTTATTATCGGTTTGTACTATTAGTCATTCGTAAATCGAGAATTATGGGCCACCTCGGGTAGCACTTTTGTTTCGCAGACTTCACCTTTCACGTGAGGTACAATTTTATTCTACCACGAGTCTTTTACTTAAGATAACTTAGAAATTTTTACTTATAATCGTGATCGGCAATTGACAACGCAGTAATCGTCGCAAATTTGCTTTTTGCACCAATTCCGATGCTTGTAATATATATCTTTGATGTATTGCTAAGGTTGAGAGATAACCTCAGGGACAACCTAATCTGAGAGGTACGCTGTTAGTTACGCCATTGCCTTGTTTCAAACAGAACTAATCATATCCTTACTTATGAAACCGTGTTAATTACACGTATAGAAGAGAGGGAAGGTAATAATAGAAATTGTCATCGTGGAAATAAAAATGGAATAATAATAATAGGAAACTATTGGGATTATGGGTAAGAAGAAATAACTATTTGTATTTATTATTCTTTCTAAGAAAGGAGTATCTCAAGTATTCTGACTGTTCGCGTAGAGAGTGAAAACTAGAGAGAAGAAAAAGGGTATGCGATTGCAGCTCGTCCTGGTTCGCTAATCCTTATCTAACGTGTGAAATAAACACTTGACGCGTTCCGGGAACCTCTTCGGCGCATAGTTTAAAGATATATCTATTTATCCTGAGAGATTAATTTTTGTATATTCGATACGTTGAGACGTATCTTATTTTCAACAGAAACAAACCGTAATATTGTCTGACAAGGAGAGTGCAAGTCCATCGGGTCACCGATTTGATTCAAATTTTGCAGGTTTGTAGATCTCGTCGTGCAGTTTAAGAAAATATACCATTATAGCTGCAACTACTCGGTAGTTTTTGAGATATTTATGATTAAAGTTTTATTCTTCCTTAACTTCAGATGCATTTCCACTAGTTCTCTCGTAGCGTTGCGGCCCAACGGTGACGTCCGAAAATTCCTACCGTGCAGGCGGGGTTCGATTCACGTCCATAGTTTGGTACATTTTTTCTAATCTATTTTTTATTTTGTATTCATTTTTTGCCTACAAATAAAATTTCCTAATAAAAGAAATCTATTTTTACTTTTTACCATTGCTTTGGATGGAAACTGACTGATTGGAAAATACATTCCGATGCCTGCGAGTTTTCTTATTGATTCTAACATAAACAATCTAACTCCAGAAAGTCTGGAAACTTTTGACAGAGAACGCAAGACCGAAACAAATATAGAGGATGATTTTTCAAATGACCATAAATGTGAATTATTTGAATGAAATATAATTCTTTATTATTTATTTTTAGTTATTATTCACAAATGACTGATAAATTGTTAATTGCCAATTGGAATCGCAAAATTTATTAGTTACTACTCGTGAACAACAAAATAAATTGAATTTATTTAATATTTGCAATAATTTTTATATACTTGCGTAAGAAAGTGTAAAAAATGAATTTTTTTATTAAGAAATTTTATTCATAGGCGAAAAATGAATATTAAATAAAAATGGATTAAAAAAAAAAGTACCAAAGCTGTGAACAGGAATCGAACGAACCCCGATTTGCACGGTAGGAATTTTCGGACGTCGCCGCTGGGCCACAACGCTACTTGAAAACTAGTGGAAATGCATCTGTAGTTAAGAAAGTAATAAAACTTTAATCATAAATATCTAAAAAATTACCGAATAGTTGCCCCTACAATGGTATATTTTCTTAAACTGCACGACGAGATCTACAAACCTGCAAAGTTTGAACCAAATCGGTGACTCGAAGGACTTGCACTCTCCTTGTGAGTTAAATATAATAATGCAAATACGAGCAAAACCGAGCAGTACGCGAGTTCCTGATGGGTTTTTTAAATCACTTTTTTTAACACGTTGACTGCCGCGCGCATTTCACGTGGATTGCCCATGGCGCTAACACGAATATTTTATTATGCGATGTATATTATGTTGAAATATTATTTACAACAGATAAGGTGAGTTGTGTAATCGCGTTTAACACTAGATTTACGGAACCCGTCAATTTGACAGTAGGGTTGCTCCAATTATACGATGGTAACAGATTTAGTTAACTTATATTAAAACTGTTAATATAATATATAATTGTTTTTAAATTAAATTAATCGTTAAAGAAAAAGGCACGTGGTTTCCTTTACCTGTCAATCTGACAGGTGTCCTTAGAAATAGGTATACAGATAGCGTTCGTAAACCTAGTGTTAATGTATTTTTCGTGGTGGGGGTCACCGGTGACCCCGCGGCACTGTAGACCATTTTTGCCATTATCAATCGTTTGAAAAGCAACTCGAAAAAATATTATAAATATTTCAATTCCCGATTTTAGGACGAAGTTAGCGATGTATTTAGTGAAATGTTCCGATGACGAAGATTGCATTTCATCGAGCAATTACGTACAGAAAAAACGTCGTCACGAATTTAAAAAGAAACCTGGAAGTGTGCGAAATGTAAGGCGATTTTGTAAAGTGTGCTATGAAAATAATTCAAATCAGCTAGGAAGAATGAGAGCAAAGAGTTGCACTAAAAAAATTCCGACTGTTTTAGTTCACCTTTTCTTTGTATAAATAAAATTATTTTTGCATGTTCTGTATGGCATTAATTTCTTCGAACCATTATAGTAACAATGGTACTATTTAAAAATTGATCAGTATCGATATTTACTCTAATTATGTATTTTTAGTAATGGTCGCGTGGCCGGTCACCGGTGACCCCCAATGGCATTCAACTTGTTAAGAAACGAAATTTTATATAAAAAAATATTATTTTTCTTCCATCTTACTTTGCAAGTAGAATCATTACGTGGTCGATTGTACTCTTTTGTGTTTTTGGAGATCATTTATACCCTCGTCATTACATGACATAAAAGACTTTTGACCCGTATTAGATCTTTGTAATTTATCACTCCAATTTCTCTTTTTTTTCTCACGTCGTTTTCTTCATTTTTATAATGTCCATTTATATTTACGATGCATTGAACGTTATTTATGATTATATTTTATTAATTCTTCTTTTTCTTCTCTATTCGGTCGTTAAAAGATTCATTGTCGTTTTTTTACCTGCACCTCTCATTATCGAATATTTCTCAATCTCAATCGTTCTCTACCAATAAATGCTTACTTAAACTATTTTATTTTTCTTTTTTACTAAAGCTCGTTGATCTCTTAAATTTGTCCCATCTACAGAGCATAAATTCTATAATCGCGTCACTCGCGTGCAACCTCCTCCATTATTCCTTTTTTATCAGCTAGTTCTGATTTATTACGCTTTTGCTTATGAGTATAAAAATGTGCAATATTTCAATAGGCGCAGAAGTAACAAACGCCAAATTTTATCCTAAAATATAGTTGGAATATTTTTCTTATTCTCATCAAGTGTTGCATTATTTACACGTATGTACAATAACCGTTGCTTCTGTTTGGAACCAATTCGATGAAGTACTGTTATGTAATAATAAATTTGA